GCGGGCGGGTCAGGAGAGGTCTGCCACGCCATGTGGTCACCTTCGGGGCAGGCGGGAATTGAACTCATGCAGAAGCGGCTTTAGATTCTCAGTGCTGTGCTTTAACCCGCTGCGCCACCAGGGAGGGCCTTGCATTACTTTTTATTTAAAATATTGCACTAAAATATTTTCTCAATTACTGGCTTGTTTGGAATCCATTTTCAATTTGACATGAGGCAAGTACATTCCCACCTCAGATTTATTCCAGCCCTGACTAGACATATAAATTAATAATCTATTTGAGATTAGTGTGTATCTACAAGTATTGTAGTTGACACATACAACTTTTATTCCTGGAAATAATTTCCATCTTAACTCTCCATTTTTTGAGTTCAGCGTTCTGAACTAGGGAGTAATTTTTTTTTAAAGAAAAATTCATTTTTTGAATAGGTCATACATTCATGATGCAAGTCAAAAAGCAGAGGCAAAAGATACATAGTAAGGAATCTTCCTCCCTTTCCTACTACCTAGATACCCTGTTCCTCTCCCTAGAGGCAACCATTGTTAACAATATCCTTGAAGAGATAAATGTGAACCTATTGTTTAATGCCTCCTTTGTACACAGTGGCATGTTATCTTAAACTGTACTGTTTTAACAATATGTATTAAGAGTTCATTCCATTATTACATATATAGCTTCTTCATCTTTTTATGGCTGCATAATAAGTATCTCATAGAAACATCAATTTAACCAATAACTATAAATAATGAGGGACATTTCAGTTATTTCCAGCTCTTTCTTAAGAAAACTAATTGCAAAACCAGTCTGGGCTGAATACGCTTGTCTCCTGATTTGTAAGAGGGTTTAAATAAAGTATCCCAACAAGGCCTTGGATAATTCCAGTACCCATGTGTTCATTCCCACTATTTCCTTTGCCGGCTGTTATCAACTGCACTGCCATTCTTTCCAAAGAATGTAGCATATGACTCTTAACAACTGTGGTTGCAATACCTGGGGTTTCCTCACCATAGTTCCTGGCCTCTTCCCCTCCACACCTTAATAAGTCCCTTTTGATCAGTACCTGTTGACCTTTGACTGGAGATCAGCCCTTACTGTTCACTTAATGAAAATGAAGATTATGGCCCTCCTTGGTGGCCCAGCGGGTTAAGTACAGCACTACAAGCAAGCCACAGCTGCTTCACTGTGAGTTTGACCCCTCCCCTCCCCCAGGGGTGACCACATGGAGCAGCAGACCTTTACTGTCTCGCAGCCCGCTGCTCCCCTCACCAGTGTACTTCGTCGATCTGCCTGTTCTGTTCCCCACTCTGTGTCTGGTGAATCCTCTCACCACTCCTGTACATCTGGCCTGTAACCCAGTTCTGTATGCACAAATAAATCTTTTTAAAAAATGAAGATTAGGGTCCTCGCTGGTGGTGCAGCGGGTTAAAGCACAGCACTAAGAGGCTTAGGCCACTTCTGCATGAGTTCGATTCCCACCTGCCCCTGAGGAGATCCACATGGCGCAGCAGACCTCTCCTGACCCCCCGCTGCTCCCCTCAGCAGTGTACTTCATCGATCTGCCTGTTCTGTTCCCCGCTCTGTCTCTGGTGAATCCTCTCACCCTCCGCATCTCTGGCCTGTACCCCAGTTCTGTATGCACAAATAAATAAATCTTTTTAAAAAAATGAAGATTACTAGGCCTTTCTCCATCAACCTCTTTTAGTCCAGAAGATGCCAATCAAAAGGAGACAGAGAGTATGAGAAGTCTTAAGGCAGGCACTCACTATTGGATGGTGTTTGGAATAAACTTTCCCTACAATTTTTATTAGGGTATTGATATATATCAATATATTTTTAAGGACCATTAACTGTTTTCCATGTAGTGGCTATTTTACATGGGGCTTATTGATTTGTTACATTTCTAAATTCAAACTCCCTAATGGAGAATGTTTGTAACTACAAAATAAAGTTCTGCTTGATTTCCCCGTTAGTCCTAATGTTAGGACAGGGAGTCACGAACCTCTGGTTCCAGTTCTCAGTGTAGTGTGCTCTGTAAAACCTTAGAGGGCCTAAGACACCAACATGTGGGTGCAAATGTGTCACTCCTCCAGATGTCCCTCCACCAGAGCAGCTGTGACTTATTTTCTTTAATATATTGGCTTCTGAGTAAGATATCATTTCAGGAAAAGGAGTCTGTTCAGCCAATCCTTTTGCTCCACAACTGAGTCCCACTTTTCTATTTTGAACATTTAAAACAAGGACTCTGGCTGTCATTAAAGCTACTCTTTTTGAGTGGCAGGGCATTATAACATTATGTAAGATTCACGTATGAATCACTGAAAGTCAACACGGGTGGGAACAAAGGAGTGGAAGGGGCCCAATGGTCTGTGATAGAGCTACTGGTGCTCTGGTGATGGGGTGGGGAAATACATTTGAGGACGTGTGAAGTGATAACACGAGGAACATATACTTGCTGTAAACCAAATGCCTCAAAAAACCTGAGAAGAAAAATGAAACAAACATGTACATGTTATACTATGTTGAGTCCACCACTGAAAGTTCAGTTCTGTACTTCGCCACACCCTATCACTGTCCTTTGTCCCAACTTACCTACCAGCCTTCCCTCTTCCCTTTTGATAACCACTGATTGGTCCCGGGGAACCTAGTCCATCTTTGTTTCATTTAGTTCACCTGTTTCTCTATAAACCACATGTGAGTGAACTACTCATACAGGAAATTATGAATAAATCAGAGAAAAGACAGACACAGTACCACCCTTCCATCAAGGTTCTGGAAACAAATTTCTGAGATCCAAAACAAACAAAAACACAAACTTGCTCTGACATCTAAGCTTGAGGGTGGGGATAAATGTTCTACCTTCTTTCCTATTGTCTTGTACCAAACACACATCTGGGGCTCAAGAATCTTGTGTGAATCCTGTGTATTAGCTGAGTAAGCAACAATACTGTGAAACAGGCGCTGAAGTTTATGTGTAAACCTAAGGAGTTACTGGACTGTGAAGGAATGAGAAATACAGGAATAAAGTAGGAATAAGGAAGAACAAAGACAAGGAGGAAAAGACTAAAGGCTCCTTTTTATGACTTGAAGGGTTACATGAACACAATTTTGTGGGGCAAAAAAATCAATGGGTCTGTACACACAAGATGCATGCCAGCACCTACCTGCTGTGACTATTGCTTCTTTATCATAGAGATGCCCTCCAAACAGCAGCCAGGCTCTCCTGAGACTCATTACAGCGTTGTCACTTATCTGCTACCAAAACCCTCAAGTGGCTCTCCACATGGCTTGGCAAAAGCCATGTCCTAACAATGGCCTGCTGCACACTCTAGCTGCCCATGTACACTCCATGCTGCTCTCCCCCACCCCATACAAACCTCAGCCTCCTTTCTTACCATTTTCATTCATTCTACTCCAGCCATGGGACCTGCTGACCGTGCCACATGGCATCACAACATGTACTTCCCACCTCAGGGCCTGTAGCCTTGCCATCACCTCCACCTGAAATGTTCTCCCAGACACCAACACGTCTTGGTCATGTAGTTCTTTTGGATGAAAGGTAGCTGAAAGGCCCTTTCCAAAGGCCTTCTCTAACCATCTTATCTCTAGTAGAGCCACAAGCCTTCCCTAATACCCTACTCTGCTTTTTCTCCCAGGCCTTTCTTACATCAACTGACATACTGATTCATGTTTTCTGCCTTCTCCCCTATGACATCAACTCCACACAGGCAGGTGCTATTTCTGAGCACTGCTGAGTCCCTGGCACCAAAAGCATTGTCTGGCACAGGGTCAGCACTTAATTGTTTATTGAATTGAACTGTGTTTTCATGGGGACTTTAAAACATTTCTTCGAGTGCTTATAAGGGGAAAGGCTAAACAGGAACTTGAGACTTTCTATAAATGTGTTTCCCAGCTTTCATGGATTTGCACTATTGGCTCCCAACAAGTGCTTCTGTAGGTCACTCCTACTGTCTATAAGGATCTGTAATAAGAGAAGGGAAACTCAGTCAATACAATCTCTTATGAGACTCAGGGAATTGATGATCTGCACTGAATTCCTTCCCTCCCCATCTTACTTCAAGTTTCTTTTCTCACAAAAAAACCAGAGGTCCTGGCAACATTGTGCTGTAACCTGCAGAGCAGATGCCCAGACTGGCTGCGTGCAGCCTGGGCACCAGCCCGCACCCGATCTCTCCAGGTCGTAGGCGATAACCAGAATAGAAAGCCTTCTCAATCACAGACTTGAGGCATGTAGAAGCTTTTATTTCAGTGATCAAAAGAATGCAGTAAATAGAATCTATACTGATGAACATTAGGCATGCACCTCCACCTTAAACTGCTGTTAGTTTCTGTCTGGCCGAAATCTTCACAACTGATTTAGGCACATCTTTGAATTTTCTGGACCGGATACACAGGGTTTTAAGTTAACAACTTCTTCCAGGGGCAGTTTAGTAAGGAGAATTATGTTCACTGACTAGAGTCCTTTATAACTAAAGGCCTCTCTAGACTCTCAGGCTGCCTGTACTACCTCAAGGCCATACTTTATACAGGTATTTAAGCAACTCACAGAATAAGGGAGATAGACTAGGACGCTGAAGTTTACTGTATGAACATTTCACAGATTCTTCCCTCCCAGCAAGGACAGTCATAACCTAGGTAAGGAGAGTCTACAGTTTAGTAGCAAATTACTCTTCTCTCACTGCCACCCTTTCTGAGAGAAACAAAGATGTGTATCAGTAGCCCCAGAAATCTGAAATGAGTTCACACAAATGACAGATTTTTTACCTATGTGGTCCCACTATCAAATTATAGAAAGCAGTTCCACTATCAGAATTACAGGAAGCAGTTAATGGGACTTTGAGAAAAGCAGAGTCCCTCTATTACTGTACAGTAATATGCATCTAATAATTTTCCATTCATCTGTCAATTTTTTCAAAAGGTGAGCATTAAAAAACACAACCAAATACACAGATGACCCCCACCCCCCAAAATTAGTCTTTGTTCATTCTTAGATGACCGATGTCCCAAGAGTAACAAAGGTGGGAGCCAATTCCCCCAATAGCGTTTTCTTCAACTGCCCCATCAACAGCTCTTCATTTCTTGAACTACCTTCCTTTTCCAAAGAGGTAATGCTGAGATCAGTCAGAAAGACTTTCTGAGAAGACTGGCTTGGATTTCTGGGTCTGTTCCAGTCGATTCAAGATGAACTGGCTTGTATCAATGAAGCGCTCAACGCAGTTCACAAAACAGGCCTCAGCCCGACTGTCCAACTTTGGCCCAGGCTTGTCCATGCACTTCTCCTGCTCAGGACAAGATACAGAATCACAAAGGGAATTTGGGGGTGGGAGAGACAAGGGGAAAAACTTCTTACTTAGATGAAAAACTTCACCTAACAACAGTGTGTGTTCCTCATAGTTCACCCTTGGCAGCGTACTCTATAGCAACCAAATTTCTACCATCTTACATGAAATTCTCACAGTAACCCTAGGAATAGATATTAGTAATCTTCAGCTTACACAGAAGGAAACTAGCACAGGGACACCAAAGTCACAGGGCCAGGAAGAGGAATGCCATTACAGAGTATGAAAAATGACAAAATAAAGTTACCCTCCCCTGAATTTGTTGATAACTCATACAATGCACCACACACTTTTAAGTAAAACCACAGAGAGAAAAGGGTGATAGGATAACTCACTGCAACAAGACACGTGAAATCGACCAATGAAAAAAGGAAATCTCTGACCTGAGATTCCACTACCTTGTCTACTTAAGCCAGAGGTTCTTGAATCCTCTCAAGGTGAACAGAAAATTGTGTGAGGTTTCCGAAGAGACCCAAAGCCTACAGATCCCAGTCTTTAATAAAAGTTAAAGGAGTCCATAACCAGATCCCCTGTCCCGCCCAAACTGTAAGGAGTCACAGATTTTTTTAAAGAGAGTCAAAGCACTCTAATACAAGGCAGACTGGGGTTAAGCAAGCACTTGTTAAGGGCCCGAGTCCAGTTATGCCAAAAGTGTTGACTGGCAGAAGACTGCAACTAGAAACTTCAAGTTAAGAGGTTCAAACTTGCCAGTGTATATAGATTGCAGACCCTCAATTCTAAGGAAAATTATCTTTGGTTTCTGAATTCCACCATTTTTGTATGTCAAGGCAGGGTAGTTGCCCTTGGCGGCAGGGAACACTTTGATCGCAAGCCGTAAATGGCTTCCACCCTTCTGCCAAAGTTCCCTCACAGGGCATACTAAATTCCTCAACCTTCAGACCCGAAACGGCTTGGTATTACACAACCTCCTGACAATAAAGCAAATAAGTGTGTGGGTCGGGAGAGATTATGCCACTTTCATAGTTCATGAGCTAGCATCATTCGCTTCTCATGGGGTGAGGTTAGTGCAACTAGGTAATCAAGGTAAACCCCGAAGAGTCCTGGGTCACAAGACTGATTTCATTGACTCCCTGGGACTCGAGATTCCAAAAATAAAAGATCAGTATTGGGGGCGCTGGTCAGTCCTGGTGACCAGTACTAGACAGTTTCAAACCTCGGGTCCCTGAAAGTGCTGGTTGGGACAGCGGCGACAAGTCTTCTACGATCCCTAGTCCAACAAAGCCGAGGTCCGGTGTGACAGTCCCCCGAGAAGCAGTCACCCTTTCTCCCTGAGGACACCAACGGGTGCTGTCAGGTCCTCCCCCTCCCCGCATGCCGGACGGCGTGATGAGTCCCGCGGGGCAAGGGCAGGGGCAAAGCAGGCACAGTGGCCAGGTCCCAGTCCTAGGATCCTCACCCAACAAAGTTCAGTCATCTGGTGCACCAGCTGCTGGAAGCGCTGCTTCTGCGTCTCTACCTCGATGAAATGCTGCAGCTGTGGGTCCACTGAGCCTAAGCCGGCGGCGGAGGAAGACGAGGAGGAATCCATCCCAGCGCGACCACGCGTGCCGAGATGCACTCCGCCACCAACTCACCGACCTTCACGTGTCTCCGCGACGGAAGCGGAACCACAACCCGCCGCCTCCGGCCCCGCCCCGTGGGCGC